TTTGTATTATGTATATATAATATATATATAGGTAAGATATATATAAGTATATGTATTACAACAAATACTAAATCAAATACTGTTGTTTAAGCAAATCATATAATAGGTATTATGATAATTTGTAATACGCGTATCTATAATCTATACATACTATAAACTAATATAAATGGTATAATCCTTTAAGTAAACGGAATTTTATGCCTCCAAGTTTATGGCATAATAAGAACATAATACACAAAAATTAACTCACACGAAATCCTGGAGTTAAGCTTGGAGATTCGTTATTACTGCTTGACTGGTCATATTTTTTGTGTTCAGCAGATTCATTGGCATCCAAATCCGATGTTTCGGTATCATTGTCACTGGACGTTCGTCTCGAACGACTTTCGTCTGTAAAAGATTAACACAATAACGGCACTGAAGTCTAATACACGAATACGAGCACGACAAAGAATGGTAATAATTTTTTAAGAAATACATGCGACGCATATGCCGATTGTCCCATACAACCCTAACCTGGTTGTGTTCAGGTAAAATTAAGTTGAACGTTACACCGAATAAATAAAGCGCTAAGTCATCGGGGACAATAAAGGCCACGGCGGCATCGGTCGGTCCCTTGAGGCCGAAAAGACGTACGACGCACTAATGGGCAGAGAAAAAATATTCGGCGAATATGGGTAAATCGAATTTTGTATTGTTATAAGTTTTTTATACAAAAAAAAAAAAATAAATTAAATATGATGTACGACTGCGACTGCGACTGCGACGACGACGACGACCACTACGAATACGGCGACAACAACGGTGCGTATAAAACGATGACGAAAAACCGAAAGAGGGACTACTGTTGATCGGTGGGCTGCCGAAAAAATACAGTTCCCCCCGGTCCAGACGCACGATTGAGGCTCTCCGACATAATATTATCCATCAATCCAACATGGCCGCCGATGCCACCGCCGTACCACCGAGTCACTTCAGTTCCCATGACCCCGCATTCCTGACCACCGCCACCACCGCTGCCGCCGCCACCACCACCAGCACCACCACCGCCGCGACCTCCACCACCACCATAAATACCACTACCCACCACTGCACTACTGGCGGTCTTCCGATTTTATTTTATCGTTTTCATTATTATTAATCCCCCCACCAAAGCGATTTCCGTACGTGTAAATAACCACCACTACCACAACGCGTCGTAGCGTGAGTATCATCCATCGTCTCCTTCTTAATAGCGTATACTGGAGAGTACGTGTGTACATATATACCTATACTAGGCGGATATAGGCATCTACTATCTATCGCGTGGTTTCGGGCTGTAGGTGAACCGGGTATAACGACACTTTTTCTGCGTGAGAAAATCATCACTTCCGACTACAACAGATACACTCGCGCAGGACCTATATTATATACATAAATACACTATACATATCTATATCTAAATGCATATTATAGTTACACTGCAGCTAGTATATAAGTCCCGTTTTGTGTTTATGTGTATACATAGGTACCTTCACCGGGGGAAAACGACGCGTATCCACTCTCTGCGAGCTGCACTGCAGCAGGGCAATTGGAAAAATAAGAAAATCTAAATTGGAAAGTTCCGATTATCGTTGTGAATTTGTATACATGCATATAAAATATAAATACGTTTTCTCAGAGACACATTCCCGTGTATTTTAACATTATGCTATTTTTTCTGTTTTTTTTTTTTTTAGTCATCGTCAAAAATCTATACACTTGCTGGTGCAGCAGCTGAATATCTATAGGTGTATAATAGGACAGTGTTATTATAGCGTACGTCTATATATATGCAATAGATACTCAAAAATCACTATAATATAGGTACACCTACATTTATATATATACGCGCGAAACAGGAGATTCGTATTTGCAGGTTGAAATATATGTACTGTGTAGTGATGTGTAACGACGTTTTATATAGAATTTCACGAGTACCTATATATATATATATGGACACTCGTGAAATTCTACATCATATATATTATATTATATATGATGCATAAACAACAATGACAAAAATGTAGTTAAAAAACCCGCATAAAATACATAAACATATATGTACTGTGCATAATATATACATTATACATTATAGTATTATACTTCGATAAGTAGGTACAAACGTAAATAAATAAATAGATTCATTGTACCTGTGAGTGTGCATATACAATATAATATATACTTAATATATACCTATATATAAAAAAAATACATGTACACAGAAACATACATTTTAGTCACAGAATAGAATAAAAGTTAATTGAGTTATTCGAATAAGGCTATAACAAAACAAAATCTCACTACAACTAAAAAGAGACCAAGACACACTAAGATATATCATCAAAAGGAAAAACACGCCCAACCACATTGGACTTGGACACAAGACTATTTTCAACTACCATATCGCACCACCAATAAATTCAGAACACAATAAATCTTCCACGATACGGGACATTTTTAACAAATTACAACAATCAATGAATATTCACACTTCAGTCGTAAATAAAATTACGTTCCAAACCATACCACCCTGGAAATGGGAACTGAAACTAAACACTGAGCTTATCGACTTCAATAATAACGAAACAAATAATACA